ATAAGAACATTTACTTTACTGTATTACATCATGATTTCTCTAATTTGTTCTCTCCTTTTTTTTTTTATAGGAATTCATCAAGCATTTATTTCCAGTCTGGTGTGTGCTTGGCACCGTAGGGAAGTGAAAAGAGGAAAGCTGTTTATACTTCTTACCTTTAGAGAATTTGTAACTTACTTGGAGAAATAATTAGCTGTAATATAAGAGACTCCTTTTTGTTGCTCATCTTGTTTCCTTTTTGTTTTTGCTTTTTTTTGTCTTCTGTGAATATTGACCCTTCAGATGCTTATCACTAGTAATTTGCTTCTATTTACTTCAACCCTTTTATTCTTTTGCCCCCTTAGAAACCTTATTCATATTGAGCATTGATTATGTGTAGAACAATATTCTAGGTTCCATAGAAGATTACAAAGATGAATAAGATATAACTACAGGGCTTCCCTGGTGTTGCGTGGCTTACCTCTCAGCACTCTGACGCTATCTGCAGCACGAGTTCGATCCCCAGCCAGGGAGCTACCCACATGGCACAGCAGATCTCTCCTGTCTAGCCAGCTGCTCCCCTGAGCAGTGTATTTCAGTCGATCCGCTTGTTCTGTTCCCCACTCTGTCTCTGGTGAATATTCTCACACACCCCCACTCCCGCACCTCTGGCCTGCACCCCGTTTCTTGTATGCATAAATAAGTAAATCTTTAAAAAAAGATGTAACTACAAAAGAGCTTACAATCCAGTAGGGGGGATAGCACAGCTTCAAGGAATCATAATCCAAACCCTTAGATAGGGAGGAGAATAGGATCATTTCTAGTTGTAGGGATCAAGGAGTCCTTACTGAAAGAAAAGCAGATTTGGATAAGATTCTGAGCAGTGAGGAATCAGGTAGTTTGTGCAATTTCACTGATATTTAGGGAGAAGTTTTGAGGAAGAGCTCTAAAATGTCTGCAATAGCAAGGACCAGGAAAAAAAAAATGAATTTGACAATCTGATTACCTTGTTTGGAGAGGGGATATTGTCTCTTTTTCCATGAACTAGATGTGTATTCCTTTTTCTTTTTATTGTAGCCTTGATCTTTTACCTCCTTTTACATTCTTGCCATTTTTGTAATGTCACTCACTTTCTGTTCTGTCAGCCCACTTAAATTCTGTATCATTTCTCTTTTTCTCCTGCTTTCTATTGTTTTCAGATCTGTTTCTAGCCTTACTTAGTCCTGACTAAGGGAGGAGATAAGTGGTATTGTACAGAACATGGGCTGCATTATTATAGTGAATTATGGCACATAAAGCAGGCAAAACTGATAGCTTGAAATCTGTTTGAGGTTTGTTCTCCAAGAATATATTGTGACTGAAATCATTAGCATGGAATTTTAACATTTAAGAACCTCCAGGTAGATTTTTATGACACTAATCTAAAAAGTACAATGAACCTGTATATGAAGAGCCTTCTGTATACCAAAAATTTGGTTTATTCTGTGAACCTTCTTTATACCAAAAATTTGGTTTACTATGTTTTATTAAGAATAATTAGTATATATCACTGCATGTTTTTAAGGTATACAATATAATGATTTGATTTACATACATTATGAAGTTTTAATCATAATAAGCCTAGTAAATATCTATCATCTCATATCGGTAAAAAGGGGGAAAAGAGAATATAATTTTTCTCCTGGTAATGAGAACTCCCAGGAACTGTTGATGTTCTTTTTCTTGAAAGCTATTAAATCTAACAGATAGTGTATGTATGTCTACTATATTCAGAATACATATATAATTGTATCTTTTTTCTTTTATTTTGTTCTTTTTGTCAATTATAACATAACCTGAGATAATCTGTATAAAGTGAGATTGAAATGCACTTGAACAATTTCAGTGGAGACATTTGGAAAAGTAAGATTATTTTTGTGTGCATTTTTTAAAATTTATTTATGCATACAAAGCTGGGGCACAGCCTACAGATGCGGGGCATGAGAGGATTCACCAGAGACAGAGTGGGGAACAGAACAGGCAGACTGACAGAAGCACAGTGCTGAGGGGAGCAGCAGGCGAGTCAGGAGAGGTCTGCATCGCCATGTGGGTTGCTCCCTGGCCTGCTGGGATCAAACTGGAGCTGCAGAGGCTTTGGATTGCCTCATAGTGCAGTGCTTATTAACCCCTTGCACCACCAGGAAGGCCCTTGTGTACTTATTTTGAAGTGTTTTTTTGCCCCTTGACTCTTTCCTTCTAATATTCCTTATGTGATTCTAAATTATTTAAAAAAATTGAACGGTTATTCTTTCATAAAAGAGATTTAGGTTAACAACTTAATTACACAAGTAATACATAAATATAAAGCTCTTTCTCTTGATATTTCAAATAACTTAGAAGTGCATGAAATAAAACCAAGAGTACACTCTGTTATCATTCCATAACTTTTTCTATACATTTACTTATATACATGTATGCACATACTCACAGAAAAGAATATATCTTATTTTGCAAAACCTAAGTATATGCTATTTGCATTTTTTTGTAACTTGTTCTTTTTTACTTAATAGTGTATTTTGGAGCTCTGTCCATTATATAGTGTCAAGTTTTTACACACATGTATATACACCATGTGTGTTTAGATGTATTACTTTTAATTATTTTTTGCATTTATAAATTTATATAAGTATAAATTTTAGTAAGCTTTTAGTTTTTAGAATAGTTTTAGATTGCAGAAAAGAAGCAAAGTTAGTACAGAGTTTTCATATATGATTTTAGTAGTTTGACCTTTCCTGGCTTCCATAAATCTGAGACCTGATCCTACAGCTGCTGAGTCAGGGGGTGTGGCTTGGAGGAGTCAAGTTTGTGGTATGAATGCTTGGGAGGGGGTACAAGCTTGTGTTTGTGGCACAGCCTATAGCCCTCCTTTCTGGGGTTCCGGGCTCAAGACTGCAGTCTCTGCATTCTCAGTGAACCTCAAAAGGTTGCTACCAGACCTAAGTGATGGGAGGTGGGGGTGGGCAGGTGGAGGGGAGTGCAGCCCAGCACACCCTCATCTTTTATAACGGAGATCTGACTTCCTAGGTTCACCCCGGCTCCTCCTAAAGTATTTACCCTCAGTCAAGGGTGTGTGTTTTCACAGTTCAGCTCTTCCCTCCCCGGGTTGGCAGCTTAGATGGCAGTGCTACCCTTTGTTTGGCAATCCCCCTGTCACCCCAGCCACAGCCTCCAAGCATGTCTCTCCACTAAGCTCTTGTTTAGTGAAGCATGGATCTCTGTGTACCTTCTGGCACAGTCTGCCTTCTCTCCAATGTCCAAGAGGTGTTCTGGTTTCACTCCAAGCTAAGACTCTCTTGTTGCAGGGCTCCACTAGTTAACCTAGATGATCCGCTGTGAAACAAAAGAAGGAACCTCCAACTTCATCTGAGAGCTGCTCTCTATTATCATTACAGAAAAGCACTAATTCAATAGCTGAAAATAATATTCCTATTTGTATATGCAGTTTTTATTATCAACTGTAAGTTTTGAAATGTTTTAGGTATATGGATTTAATTTGTAAATTATGGCCTGCGTTGTTCTTTATGGTAGCCACTAGTCTTACATGGCTGTTGAGCAGTTAAAGTGGAGCTACTCTGAATTGGTATGTGTCATAGTGTAAAACATACAGTGGAATTTGAAATCTTATTATGAAAAAAAAGTAAAATATTTCAATGGTAATTTTCTTAGCATTCAATTTTAAAATGCTTCAGATATATTACTTAAATAAAATTGATTAAAATTAATTTCATACTTATGTTGTCATGTGACTACTACATTTCAGTTTGTGTATTGATAAGCATTATATTTATTTGCAGTGCTGATATAGACAATAATATAATCATTAGGTGTTTAGGACTTCAATTAAGATAGTGCATGGAAAGTTGAGGAATTTTAAGAGATCATATAGTAATCATACACACTTACTAATTTCTGTTATAGATTTTTTTACATTTTTTGTGTGCTTCCATGATGGTTTTGTAATCAAGTACGCTCATTGATGGCAAATTTTCTTCTATATCTGGTCTTTTGCTGCATACATAGGAACTTGACTGAGTATAGTACGTCAGATAATCTTATAAACACAAAATATGACACTTTTGAGTACCTATCAGTGACTCCTTGAGTTTTTTATACCCCTTATTTAATACCAAAAGCTAGTCAGATCAGTCATATCCTTTTTTAAAGGTCCATGCATATGGAACTAACCTATTGGCTAGTCTTTCATCTACCAAGTTCTGACTGTTATTTTATATCTTCATTTAGCGTATATAGTAAATTATGAGAATGGTATCAATCATGGTTATACCAATTACAAAACTTAGATTAATTTTTCAGATATTGATGCCCTTTCCACCTATGCCCAATTTCAAAGATAGCACTTTTCCACTGTAGTTAACTATCTTGATTAAAGTTGGCCACTTCGGGCCTCCCTGGTGGTGCAAGGGTTTAAGACACAACCTATGAAGCTATCCACAGCCACTGCAGTATGAGTTCGATCCCCGGCCAGGGAGCAACCTACATGGTGCAGCAGACCTCTCCTGACTCGCCCTCTGCTCCCCTCAGCAGTGTATTTCAGTAGATCAGTTTATGATCTGCCTGTTCTGTTCCCTACTCTGTCTCTGATGAATCCTTTCACCCCCCCACACTTCTGGCCTGTATTCCAGTTCTTGTATGCATAAATAAATAAACCTTTAAAAAAAAATAAAGTTGGCCACTTACTTGGAGTGATTTGAAGGTTGTCTTTTGTGGCTGACATGAAATGAAGAATAATCTTTAGAAGGAAATGTAGAATGATAAATTTTGACAGTTTATAACGTGTGTTATTTATTCCATGTTCATTATATGAAAGGAAATTTAGAAATATATCCCAAAACCCAAGAGGAAGAATAAGAAAGATGCTTGTCCTTCTAATTTTCTGAGTGTATTGTAATTCTGGAAGTTGCACTGTTGTTCATGGGAAAAAATTGTAAAATAGTTTAAAATACTTTCATTTTGTCTTTTAGATAAAATCAAAGATAAAATTAAAGAGAGAGAAAAAGAAAAAGAAAGAGAGAAAAAGAAGCATAAAGTAATGAATGAGATCAAGAAAGAGAATGGAGAAGTAAAGATTTTGCTGAAAAGTAAGTTTATATTTAGTGATTTTCATTGTACTATAGTATATTCAGTATACTTACCTAGTCATTAAAATAAATGTTATTTGGTACCAAATTTTGCTGAGAATAGCATCAAAGGTCAAAATATCGAAAAAAAAAATGTAATAGTGGTGAGTTCTAATCTACATAGTAACTTGTGAACTGTTATATTTCATAGTTAGTGAACTGTTCAAAAGTAGTAAAGATTAAGCTTCATTAAGCCATTAGGCTCCTTAAGTTATTTTGAAATAGGTTATCTAATTGTGTTTGTGTTATTATTCTTTATTTGTATTTAGAGAATCCAAATAAAGACTGAAGTAACTTTTACCATGATTGGGATAGTGGAGGGAATGATTTTATAAAACTTGATGATATCGTTGTCTGGGATATAAAAGTAGCATTTTACTGTGAACTAAATTGAAGGCATACCACTTTACTGTATATTTCTTGCATGTTAAGAATATCATTTTACCTATCTTTCTATTATAGTTGTTTTCACTTGCTGTTTATACATATTTGGAGTAAGGTGGGGAGGTGAATTTGGAGGATAGATGGTTAGGTGGTGTTAATAGAAATCCTGTCAATAAATCTGAACATTTTCAGATGTTTTGTGGTAGAATAGAAGTAAAGAAAGTCTTACATTCACTGGAATGGCAAGGTAATGACATTTGGTTGCTAGACAGTAAATTCCTTAATACCCTATCAGGTTGATAATTTGTGGATCAGAACACACACACACTTTCATAAATTTCATGTTGAATTTATGTGTTGAGAAGCCTCTATATCTACATAAGAGAGAAAAGGCCATAGCATTACGTGTGCAACAAAATAACTGATTAATTTACATTGTTTAAGATAAATACAATGTTCTTTTCATTTCATTCTTTGTTATGTTTCCAGACATTGTATGGTAAGCACTTTAAATTCTGTTTTGAACTTGTCTGAAATTTATTTTTAGAAAATTCTTTAGCTTTGAAGAAACAGTCGAGAACTGAAGTTGATGGCTACCTAATAATACTCATGATCTTTTTGTTCTATATTTTTTCCAGGATATTTTACGTGTTTTTAATGAGATTGTAAGCCTTCCAGGCAGGAATTGAATATAACCACACTAAGTGCTCTACAGCAGTTAATGATTAATGCTTGAAATTATTCTATAATAACTTAGTCAAATAGTTGGTTTTTTTTTTTTTTTTTTTTTTTTTTGCTGGTCTAGTCAGTCTTTTTTTTTTTTAATCCATTTGAATATATAATGATGTAAATTCCTGTTACTTGGTTGAATGCTAACTTACTAACTTACGTTTAATATAAAATATGTGATTGTAGATATTATATGTGTGAACAGTTTTTAGGCTAGCCTGGAAAATGAAGATTTTAGTGATTTGTAATAGTAGCATTGACTTTAAAGTAGACGGAATTTCAGAGATATTTTGAGCTAAACTAAACTGAAACCTAATGGTGATAAAGGAGAAAAAATGAGATGGGTTTGGAAAGGAATTGGTAACCTCTGGTATGATCATGGGGAATGTATTAACTGTAAAATGGAGGTAAATAATTCTGCCCTACAGCCTTGTAAGATTAAACGAGGTAAAGTATGGGGGAAATGCCAAGTACAGTGTCTGACTCACCCATATTCAATAAGTACATGTAAGTCTTTTTGTAAAAATGTATGAAACGTTAATCTTGAGATTAAAACAACAACGAAACTATTTTCTGCCCTCAATGAATGGTCTGTAGATAAATTATTAAAGCATGAATCAATTGGGAAACAGTCCCTGTCCCATTATAAGCACTGAATGTTAGCTATTGTTATTATCCAGCCAAAAAATTTACTCTGCTTGTGTGGTCATTTTTCCAAGTGAACCTTTCATCAGGGAAGACATCCTTTGTTTTTGGTGTTCTTGAGCCACAGAAGAATCAATTTGGTGGGGACAATATGCTGTTATTTACTACTGTGAATCCCTTTATTTCTTTTTGGCCTTCAGCTTTTATTTTCTCCTACTAGTGCTGATGTTGCAAGTTATGGCAAACACAGGCATCGGTTGTTTGATGGCACTTGAACTACTTAACAAGAACTACATTAAATAGATGCTCTTACTCCACAACAATCTCATTTCCTCCACGTTTTCATTATAAACTGTGTTTAGTATTACTAGCAGTATATACACAATTTTTAAAAAAGATTTATTTATTTATGCATGTAAAAACTGGGATACAGGCCAGAGGTGCAGGGGAAGGGAGGGTGGTGCTGTGTGAGAGGATTCACCAGAGACAGAATGGGGAACAGAACGGGCAGATTGACTGAAATACACTGCTGAGGGGGAGCAGTGGGCGAGACAGGAGAGATCTGCTGCACCTTGTGGCTTAGCTCCCTGGCTGGCCGGGGATTGAACTCTGTGCTGCAGTGCTGCAATAGCTGCGGATAGCTTCACAGTGCCCCTACTTAAACCCTTGTGCCACCAGGGAGGCCTGTATATACAATTAATGCAGAAGTTTTGTCAATGCTTTTTCACTGACAAAGTAGGATTATTTGCTTTATTAGAAATAGTTTAAAGGAAGATAAATTTGAAACAAATTACTTAACTCATCCCTTTGTATCTGTTGTCTACCAGCTATATTTTCTGAGTCCACTCTTATGTTCTAACCATTTTTATGTTTATTGGTAATGTTTCAAGAACATAGATGTTATGATTAAATTTTTGTCATTATAGCTTATCAAAGAAGCTTGCTGGTGTGCAGGTGGAATGTGGGTTAAAAGAAGCCAATGTACAAGGTTACTGGTAGGGTACTAGAGGTCACAGGTAGATAATTCATGCAAGAAGAGTAAAAATATTGCAGTGCAAAAAAATTAGAGTTGTATTGCAAAGGCCAACGGTTGAAAGCTAATTACCACTTGCCTCCTACCGTAAAATAATGGCATTATATAAATTCCCATATTAGATATGATTTTTTTTTTCTGGGCAACTTTCATTTTTTCCATTCTTACCCTTTTTTTTTTTTTTTTTTTAAGATTTATTTATGCATTCAAGAGCTGGGGCACAGAACAGAGGTGAGGGTGTTGGGGGCGTGAGAGAATTCACCAGAGACAGAGTGGGGAACAGAACAGGATGATTGAAGTACACTGCTGAGGGTAGCAGCAGGCGACGGAGAGGTCTGCTGCGCCATGTGGGTTGCTCCCTGGCCAGCTAGGGATCGAACTCGTGCTGCAGAGGCTGTGGACAGCTTCATAGTCTGCATCTTAACCCCTTGCAACACCAGGGAGGCCCTCTTCCGTTCTTACACAAAAAGTATACTAAAATTAGTGGTGGAAATTAATGCCAGTGTATTTGTGATTTTTGAGATTTCCCCCCCCATAACAGCTAATAACAACACATGCTGGTTTTTGTTTTTGTTTTTAATCTGTGTCTGTGTGGGAACTTTTTTCTATTTCTGAGTATCTTTCTCTCTGACTGTGTGTCCCTCTCTCTCTCATCCTCTGGCTCTCTGCATGTGTATTTCTGTGATACCTTGTATGTGTGTGTGCCTGGAATCTACTATGTACATGTATTTGTGGGGAAGGGCCCCAGCAGCCTTATCTTTTTTAAGGGTGCAAATTATTTAGACAGCAGTTCTGTTTTTTTCTGTTATGTGTACTTAACAGATCCTTAAAAAATTAAAAAAAAATAGGTCTGATATATCGGACTGAAAAATTATAGATTTAGAGTAATGTGTACTTTATATTTTTAGTATAAGAGAACATCAATATTCAAAATAGTCATATTTCCCTAATGTATTTACATTTTCTACATATAAAGCTACTGTATTTTATAGTTATTGCAAGACAGGAAATGAAAGATTATATAGAACTTGAAAAAAAATTTTTTTAAAGATTTCTTTATTTATGCATGCAAGAGCTGGGGTACAGGCCAGAGGAGCTGGGGGTAAGAGGATCCACCAGAGACAGAGTAGGGAGCAGAACAGGTAGATCTACTGAAATACACTGCTGAGGGCAGCAGCGGGCTAGACAGGAGAGATCTGCTGCACCATGTTGATCACCTCCCTGGCCAGCCAGGGATTGAACTAGTGCTGCAGTGGCTGCGAATAGCTTCATAGTGCTGTGACGTAAACCCCTGGCACCACCGGGAACATCTCTAAAAATCTTTCTAGTGAAGACTATCTAGTGAATATCTAGTGCCTCACTTGGTTTAAATGTAAGGAATGCCTTTTACTTGTGTCCATTGGAGGTCCCCAAGACTACCTGCAGATTTGAAGATTTGCTAGGAGGACTCGCAGGACTCAACATATATAATTATCTTTGTGGCTGTGGTTTATTATAGTAGAGGATACAAGGGAAAATCAGCAGAGAAAAGGCGGACACATGTGCAATGCAAATGGATGGAGAACAGGCATAAAGCTTCTAACAATCCTGTACCTAGTAGAGACACACAGGATACACTTAATTCTTCCAGCAGTAAATTGTGACAACATAAATGAAGTGTTTTACTGGGTACTGGTCATAGAGGGTGTACTACCTCTGTCTAGTGTATACCAAAATTGCAGATTCCTAGAAGGAGAACAGGTGCTCAACATAAACCATATTGTTTGCACAGATAGTTTAGCCACAGTGAACCACTCTTGTCAGGGAATGGTGGGAGCCTTTCTGAAATACACACTTTCAGATACTAGCCAAGGACCAGCCTTGCCAAGCAGGTTTTTCTAAGGGTAGTATTCTCAGGCCTGACTGTTATGGTAACTCTTTCTGCACACTGTATTTACTTTAATATTTAAGTAAGAGTAGTTTGTCATGGGAATTTTATTTCTTGATATTGACTATAAGACTTTCTTGGCTGATTGCTTATTATTTGCATTTTTCAATTTCTGATTATATCATACTACTATTTTTGCCCATCTTCATGACTAGGAAATAAATAGACTGTTGTACTTACTTTATTTCAAAGTAACATGTATTGTAATGACTGGATATTTTCAGTTTTGACTTTACTTTTAAAAATGTGTTGGACATAAATGTAATAGGATATTAAACATTTTCACTCAAATTAAATTGTTTATTTTGTCAAACCATTTTATTTGTGCAGTTTTACGTATATTTTCAGTTTAGTTACTAATTACAGTTAGGTCCTTCAAATTCTTTTAAGTTCTATATTTTATTTTACTGCTGTCTTTTTTTCCTTGCCTCATTTGGATTGCTTAAATATAAACCTTTTTTTCACTTTCCATTTTGATTAACTTCCTGTTTGAATTTTTTTCATTTATTTTGTTTTTAAGATATAATCTCAGGCTGCTATTTTGATATTTTGTAATTAGGTAGAAAGTATGAATTTAATATATTTCTTTTTTTTAAAGATTTATTTATAAGATACTTGAAGGCACTGTTTTTGGATTTCAAACTGAAAGGGTTATATTTTATTTGGTAGGCATTGGAGTGACTTGACAGTAATTGAGTCAAAGGATGAATATGTTCAAAACAATACATATATAAATTATAAAAAGATCAGTGTGGCTCTAGCATTCAGAATGAGAGATAGTCATGGGCTCTTAGACTAAAAATTTAGTTGTATCAAGGAAGTAAATATCAGGGTTGAGCTCGGTAATTCTGTTAAACTTTTAAGAGCTCAAAAAGAATGGCTCTAGAGAATATCATTGGATTTGAGAGTTGAACATTCTAGGAAAGTAAATTTGAGTATTCTTATTATGGCAGACCCAGAATTTAAGGACTAAAAATAAGATAATAAGAGAAAACACTGGATGTAGGTTGTACTTCATGAGAAGTTTGTCAAGAGGAGACAACATTTAAGGTTTTTGGGTTTGGTGAGAGGGACTTACTCTTTGAAAGTAGACAGGGCCTCTCCCTCACTGGGTACAGAAAAGAATAAAAGCTATGTGAATATGGAAAAATGTAGGCAAGGAAGCAGGTTGGGAGGATTTAATTCATGACAGATAAGCTATAAAAGTATTAACAGGTGGAAATTGTGAATACCTTCTTTTCTCAACTATAATTAATTTATATTATTTTAGAAAGCATAGTATTTTCTTGTAAGGATGTTTCCTTTTTTTGTTTTTCTGATAGAATTAAATATACTGTGATAATGTTAAGTGTTTATATGTACATTTAGATTCTATAGATGTATAGCCACTGTGGATTACTGTTTTATTTTTTGGACTTTTTTGTTAATCTCTTTACTAGTATGCAGGCATCATTTGAATTTAGTACATGAGATTATTGTAATTTCGTTATCTCCTTTGTGGTACCTTTTTGGAACTTCATTGGGAACTTGTGAACGTTGGTGAACTTAAATGGCCCATTTTAGATGCAAGTGTAGTTTACTAAGGAGGTAATATGGTAAAAAGTTAAGGAATTGTTATGTTTGTTGCTGTTATATTATGTAATTATTCTCTCTGTGATTTATAAATCTTTCCATGTAGATAGAATTTTTATGAATTTATATAAAGTAAAATTGATAGAACTAAAAATAATTTGAAGGTATCATTCGTATTGAACTTTGTTCAACTTTCTGTTTCTGATTTTATACCTGTAAAGTGTAAAGATTATGTTTTCTATAAAACATTCATTCATTTCATTACTTCAGCAAACACTGATTGGTACATCTAAGAATGGTACAATCTGTCCCAAGCGCCTCCATGTGTGTGGGAGGAGGGGGGAAACTGACTAAATTATGATTATTAATACCATGTAAAATGAGTCCCAAATATAAACCTAGTTCTGAGTAAACTTAGATTATTTATTTCAAAACAGTTCCTAAAGCATGGCTTTTTTAAAGTAACTAAAATACGGAGTTTCAAAAAAAATTTTTCCCAACAGGTGGGAAGGAGAAACCAAAAACAAATGTAGAAGACTTACAAATTAAAAAGGTAAAGAAGAAAAAGAAAAAGAAACACAAAGAGAATGAAAAACGGAAGCGTCCAAAAATGTATAGCAAATCTATTCAAACCATTTGCTCAGGATTACTCTCTGATGTTGAAGAACAAGAAGCCAAAGGCATCCTAAATGATAACATAAAGGATTACCTTGGAAAGAATTTGGATACCAAGAACTATGATTCCAAAATTCCAGAGAACAGTGAATTTCCATTTGTTTCATTAAAGGAGCCACGGGTTCAGAATAACCTCAAAAGGTTGGACACTTTGAAGTTCAAACAACTCATTCATATTGAGCACCAGCCTAATGGAGGTGCATCAGTTATTCACGCCTACAGTAATGAACTCTCCCATCTGTCTCCTGTGGAGATGGAGAGGTTTGCAGAAGAGTTTGTGGGTCTAGTGTTCAGTGAAAATGAAAACTCTGCAGCTTTCTATGTAATGGGTATTGTTCATGGGGCAGCTACTTATTTACCTGACTTTTTAGACTACTTTTCATTTAATTTTCCCAATTCACCAGTGAAAATGGAGATATTGGGAAAGAAGGATATAGAGACAACGACTATGTCCAATTTTCATGCTCAGGTAAGAGGTTTTTTAGTTGTTTAAAAAAATAATTATATGTTTTAGAAAGTTTCTGTTTTTTGCTTCTCGATTTGCTATAGGTTTGAAATAAAAAGGTAAGAATATAATGAAACCTTTTGGGAGTAGTAAGAATTTATTACTTTATTATTTTTTTAAGATTTGTTTTTATTTATTTATGCATATAAGAACTGGGATGTAGGGCAGAGGTGTGGGGGCTTAGAGGATTCACCAGAGACAGTGTGAGGAGCAGAACAGGTGGATCCATACTGCTGAGGGGAGCAGCAGGCCAGACAAGAGAGGTCTGCTCTTCATGTGGGTCAGCTCCCTGGCTGGGATCAAACTCATGCTGCAGTGGCTGCGGATAGCTTGATGGCACTGTGTCTTTAACCTCTGGGAGACCCTATATTGTTTTCCTGATGTGAACATCAGAGTTTAAATTTCAGTTTCTATTTAACCTGATTTTTTCTTAAAGATAATTAAGGAAATAAGACAGGATTTTTTTGGTATGGATTTTTCTTGGATATAATTAAGGGAAGTAAACCATGTATTTTCCAGTCTCTGTAATAGTTCTGAAAATGACCTAAAATTATCCTTATTTGGGATAATGCTTTAAAATTGCTGAGTGCCGGATCCTATCACATAGTACATGTTAAATAAATACTGGCTATTATATGTGTTGGAACAAAGGAGTTATCCATTAATTGTATGACTGTATGAGGAAATTAGCATATCAATGCATATATTCAGCTAATTTCCTTATCCTACTCTTCTCTAGGATATAGAATAAACATTATTTTGAAAAGCAGAGGCAGAGTTGAGTTTGCTCAATTCCTGAAAGTGAATATGGGCCCATCTAAAAGGCCAGCACTTTTGACACCAACTGAAATCAGGGCCTAGTTTGGAATGAGGAAAGAAAGTAAGTCTTTTGTCTTTTGAAGAAAGTTGCAAAGGGATTTAAGTGATCATTTATCCCAACTTTTCCGAGTTTACAGGTAAGCAAACAGACATAGATAGGAGTAACTTACTATTTCAAGGTTGGCAGCAGTGCCAGGAGTAGAACACAATCCCCTTAATATTCACCCAGGATGCTTTTCTCATATTCTGAGTACATTTCATTTCTTTATACATGCTCAGATGATAGTCTTCACCTTAGACAATAGTCTGAATGTAATCATATCCATACATACCAACCCCCTTAATCCACAGTGTGTTATAGATTATATTCTGTTGTCTGGAAAGTATAGTAGTATTTAAAGTTTTAATGAATGTGTGTGACTTATGGAATTTGAATATTTTTTAGAGCTGAAAGGGAGTTGTAGAACTTCTATTTTCTGTCATTTTATAAAATACTTTGTAATTTATCGAAGATTTACCTCAGTTTAGTGATGGAACGAGACTGGTATCTAGTAATAATGTCTATTTATTGAATACTAACTGTGCTAAGAAGTACTCTAAGCACTTGGTATATAATAGCTCATTTAACCTCAGTACAATCCAATTTCAGCAATGAGGAAGCAGGTATAATGAGAGAGAAATAACTTGCTGTTAAATCCTTCATTACTAGATAATTTACTTGTCCTTCATTATATATCTGCTAGGTGATACAAAGTTTTATGTTTTATGCCTCTTGACTCCCATTCCCACTATAGTACATACTTTCCTGCTGCCTTTTTTTTTTTCAGTTAATTTCTAAATGTGATAATACTTATATTTGCTTTTCAATTTTTTTATTAAATGATAATTTTTATTATCTTAACTATGTGAAAATTGTGCTTTTGTTTTTAAGTAAAATGAGATGTTGGGACTTGTTAGTTTTAGCAATGTGAGGCGAGGTTGTCCGTCTCAAGTCCTGTCCTGGTGGCATCGCCACTTGGTCCTTGGTATCTGTACTGCACAGAAGAAACTCTAGGCAGAGGCATCTTTTTTTTTTTTTTAAGATTTATTTGTTTATACAAGAACCAGGGTACAGGCCAGATGTCCGGGAGGGTGAGAGTATTCGCCAGAGACAGAGCCGGGAACAGAATAGGCAGACGGATGAAATACACTGCTGAGGGGAGCAGCGGATGAGACAGGAGGAGAGGTCTGCCTGGCCATGTGGGATCCTCACCCACCGGCCATATCGGGCGCTGCAGAGGCTATGAACAGCTTCACAGCACTGCGCTCATCTGCCTGCGCCACCAGGGGAGGTCCCAGAGGCATCTTTTTTGTTACCAGCTTATGGCTGTGGTCCCATATCTGCCTGATCTGTCAACTGCAGAGACTACTTTTGCTTCTTTAACTACAGACTTAAAGGCAGAAGGCTGCCTGTTGCAAGGAAACTGTCTGTTCCTTTTTCCCTAGATCCTCTAGATCCAGTAATTCCTACGATGACATAATATTTAGTGAGAAGCTAAATATTTGAAATTTGATATTTTCTCCATTCTGCCCAGACAGCTGCATCTTTGTCTCTTGTAAGACAAACAGAGTTGTTTTCTGTGGACCAGGAGGTAGCCTTAGGTTTGTTTTTAGTAGCTGATTATCTGAAACTAATGTGATCCAAAAGGCAGTACAAGAAAAATTAGCATACTTATTGTAGCTTAGCTTTATTTCTGATTTCTTGGCTGCTTCTCAGTAAAAACAAAACAAAACAAAAAAAAACAACCCACAACCATATAACCCAATTTGTGGAATCGCTCTAGGAAATGATTTTTAAATCTTTTTTTATAATTTTTTATTTGGAAAATGCTTTGTGAAATACATTGACTGACAGGAAACATAGTAAGAGCTAAACCAACTTACAACTTGAGACTTTTGTTGCCCTGAATGTGGGACTTTTTCTTCCAAGTTTAAATTGTAATAATAGTTTATTATCAATGTAGTGAGTTGTGACTGAGTTAGTGTGGATAGTAGATGGGATAGATGGAAAGAGAAGGGTACCAGTCGTAGTTTTGCTGTATAGCAGGTTATACAAATAGAGTTGGTATGCAGTATTACAACAGCTTTCATTTTATTGAAGACACAAAATGCAATATTGTTCAGCCATAAAAGGAAATGAAATACTGTTACAGTAGGGTGGACAACCTCTGTTACAGTAGTTGGCAGATGGATCCGTTCATTTTAGGGGATTCTCTTATATGTCTTGACAGTTGATGCAGTGTCATTGGTGTTAATGGTCCCATTTCACTCTTAAGTAGTGCCTAGCTTGCACTCATACACATGGTGGTAGATGCAGAATTCCTTAGAGCAGAAAGGGGAAAAAAAAAAAAAAGGTGCATGACTCTGTTGGTGTTGAGTTTCGTAATGATCAGAGGCATTCGTGGCCAGATTCACTTCTTGGTGAAATGATGGTAGAAGTGGTATAGTCACATGACTCAGAAGTCAGCATACAGACTTGGGAAGATTTTTGGACATTTGCAATCTTCTACATCTATAACTGTCCTCATTTCTTCTTACTGTCTCTGTTTTGTTCAAATATTTGTTCAGATATTTATTGTTCCCCTATGCCCTTGATGATCTCCTTTTTTTGAGGGAAACAAAAAGACAAGTAAGACAGGAGTTTTACATTTCAAGGAATAAATGAAATTTCAGATGTTCTAAGCCCTATAGATAAGAGATGCATGAATGTGAAAACTGAAGCAGTTGTCTTCTCACTACTCCCTCCCCCATCTCTAAATCTTGTTTTTTATTTTATCCTGGTACTAAGTTTTTCATACCAAATAACTTATATCAAGGTATTAAGCATTGATTAAATGTCTAATATTTTAATAGTGAGACAGTTATTAAATCTGATCTGATAGCCAAGCATTGCCTCTGTGCAAAATGAAAACTAAACAATTGTTGAATTTATGCTGTGGTCATTCACTGTACTGGATCAGTAAAGATGGTTTTATATGCCATCTTTGAATCATTGCTTGCCAGGACTAAATTTTCATTTTGACCAGTTGTTCCTGTCACATCTGCTTTAAATGCTTATGAACTGCTCTATGTAAAATAGTATGGCAGATGATCTAATTGTAAAAGGAGCTTCCCCCCTTTTACTATATTACTTTTAAATATAACATTTTTATTCTTTTTTATTTGACATTATATAGGTATTTTTTAAATAAAATAGTGATTTTGATTTGAAAGAATGGGTCATGTGTGATGGGGGGATGGCTCCCCCTTGTGGCACACTCATTGCAGTGGCCCAGCCGGCCGCCTTGAGAAGGTGGTGTGCTTGAAATTACTCTTTCTTGTCTCTCTGCCCCCGTCCTCCACCCCAAACCCAGCAGAATTGAACCAACGGTATCTTCTGCCCTTTCCCTCTCAATTTGGGGCCCTAATAACTATTTACTTTTCTATTTTTTTTAGATTGATGCTGATACTAGACAGAAACATGTCTGTCTTACATATTATATATTATGGATCACTAATAAAGTATAGTAATATACTGTGCTGCCTTTTAATATCTCGGGATGTTGAGAGAGATATTAAAACACCTGTAGGAATAAACAGATTTTGAAACTAAAATAGTGTAATGTTGAGCTCAATAAGATATGCTTATGTATTAGAAGAAGCTTTAATAGTCTATGTGTGTGTTGAACCCCATGAACAGGTGGGGTTTTCCAAACTTACTGGGCGAGGGGATTTTCTTTCTAGGGACTGGCAGAGCATGGAATATATCTTAGGAACTAGCAAGTTGTTTCAAGTGAGTCGTTCTTAATGGTTTTTGAATTACTTATTACCGTATTTGCATCTTCGTGTGTTGCAGCTTTTTTTAAAAAAAGTTAAATTAGAAAAAGCAATATTAAATGTTAAGATTTATTTTTTTTGCTGTATTTCCTGCTAGGAAAGCTGTTTTTATTCTTTTTGTAGCAAGTAAGACTCAGAATCATAAGATTTTTTTTTAAACCCATTTTTTTTTTTTTTAAGATTGCATGAGGAATAGCAATAGGAGATAAGTTTAACAAGATTTAACTAAATAGTTCAATTCCTGTTAACCAAAATTCTTGAGATTTTGTTGACTTTTTTTGTAGTGGGTACAAGAAATCTCTTATTTTCTGCATTTTCCCCTTTCCCTTCATAACATTTGTAGAGAATATATAAGGGGGAAAGCAAAATTGCAGTCATAATGGTAATGGATTTTTTTGGGAGTGGGGAGTGTAGGGAAGAAATTACATTTTGTTTTTAAAAACACTATAACTTAAACTTACTTTTTAAATACAAACTTTTGCAAATTATGTATCATTCCTATCTATTGTGTTATTTTGAGAGTACTGTACCTAAATTGGGATGAACAAATGTGTAACTCTTTGTAACCCTGCATTTTTCCTTTAGTAAGCATATATGAAATGTTTTAAAGCAATGGTATGTTTGAGTTTTTCAGAATAATTTTTTTTAACTGAATCAGATGGTTTGGTTAATATTTACTGAAGTGATTAGGAGCAAATATAGCAATCTCATGCCAGGTATCATCAGGGTGTGAGATTTTCCAAGTAAGTTATATAGTTTTAAGTACCAGGTTTTAATCAAGGCATCCTTTTTACTGGGCACGTATTCTACATAATTTACTGTTTATTTACAATCTGGTTTGTCATTATAGTGTTACGATACTGATGCCTACAGGGAGTTGTAGCTGTGCTTGCATTTTTTCCTCTTCCACCTTAAAATTTGTAGATTTCGGGCCTTCCCGTTGGTGCAGCAGGTTGAACACAGCCCTATGAAGCTGTCCGCAGCCTCTGCAGCAGGGGTTCGATTCCCGGCCAGCCATGGAGATCACATGGTGCAGTAGACCTCTCCTGTCTCACCCACTGCTCCCCTCAGCAGTGTATTTCAGTAGATCTGCCTGTTCTGCTCCCCACTGTGTCTCTGGTGAATCCTCTCATCCTCCCACGACTCTGGCCTGCACACCAGCTCTTGAATAAATAAAATAAATCTTTAAAAAAAATTTTTTGTAGATTTCCATCCTTTATGATTTTAGAGAATAATTAGAATTACATACAAGTGAGAATCATGAATCATGGTCTTTGGCATTGGCTGTTCAGAGTCTTTCAGTTTTTTCCTGTTCCATTGCCCTGCTCCACTGCACTTGAACTATAATTGTTGGATAGATGAATTTTGGAAAAAGGTTTTATTTTTTTGTGGTACTCTAGATTTACTTTTATTCCATGTAATAGTGGAAACTGTATATTTGCTGTATAGTATTGCAGTAAAACAGATATCTTTTGAATCAAGAAATAATTTTTTATGAAAATTTTGTGGATTATGAATTTGGATTTTGTTTTAACAGTTTGAGTGTCATCCACATATTTCATCATGAAATATACTCTTTGAATTTGAATACACTGTTAATGCGTAATTTGCCATGTTTAAAACATTAAATTAATGGCTCTAGCTGGCTTAGCTTATGTGTGAAGTTTTGGGCTAATAAGATAGAAAGTTGTGTTAAATGATGTTTTTAACCATAAAATATGGTTAAAATAAAATGTAATTAAAAGTTAGAGTATTTCCTTATTTGTTGCTTTTACAAACTAAGATTTTAATGATTTCGATTTAACATTTTAAACTGAGTTTTAAATTTAAATATATTCTGTCTATCCTCTTGGGTTATCAGAGTATTTTCTTTAGTATTGGAGAATAAATGTTTTATAAGAAAATTGCTACTTTGTTTTAAACATAAAAGAACATAGTTTCTATAAATAACCTTTCTAGTAGAAGTTTACTTTTGGTTTTAATAGTGGACAAGTTAGACTTGACTTTATGTTTTAGCATATTTTGGTGAAAAGCAAGTGAGACCTTGCCATTTATTATAGCAGATGATGTGAATAAGTAAATTTTACATTTAATATTTGTCATGTAGTGGCAATTAGTAACTACAAAGACTGAAATATGGCATTTATGCTCCAACAAGTAGAGTCTATATTACTTAATTTTCTTTTAAAATTTATATGTTTATGCATGTGAGAACTGGGGTGTAGGCCAGAGGTGTGGGGGCTGAGAGGATTCACCAGAGATAGAGTGAGGAGTAAAACAGGCAGATCTACTGAAATATACTTCTGAGGGGAGCAGTGGGCGAGACAGGAGAGGTCTGCTGTGCTTATGTGGTTCAGCTCCCTGGCTGGGGATTGAACTCATGCTGTAGTGGCTCCCGATAGCTTCAGAGAGCTGAGACTTAATCCCCTGTGCCACCAGCGAGACTTAACGGGCCTTCTTTTTTGTTATTGGTGTGTCTTTTGCATGCATGTATTTTAATTCTTTCACATATTCTTGGTAAAAATACCAGTGGACTATCCATTCATTTGACTTTTGTTTTAAAAGGTTCAAGTCAGTCATGTCTTTGGAAGAGCTCATAAAATTGAGCTGCAGTTAGTATTTTAGAAGAATTGGCTCACCGAAAATTTCTCCCTACCTGAATTATTTAGTTGATCACGTTGATGTTGTCATGTAGTAAAATGAACCAGTTAGGTGACAAGGATTTATTTGATTTTGACTTTGTTAAAACTAGTTAGTGATTTACATAAGTTCTCTCAGTTAAACAAGATAAGGAAAATATGAGACAAAGAGAACTTACTTAATTTGTCTAAAGTAGAATTATTACTTCCCTTCCCTGAGGTTTGTCTTAAGTCAAGTGGTGACTTGTAAATCCAAAACTGAGGTTACAAACTTAGGATCAATGAGCAGCAGTAACATTTTAGTATATGTGCTGTCAAAGCGAGCATAGCAGTAACGTTAAATAACAATCCTGGTATATCTGCAAAATTTCACATTGCTATTCTTAGCTTTGCTAGAGACCATCAGTACAAAATGGGGATATGGAACCCCCAATTTTTTGTAACTTGGGGATGTTTCTAAGAAATGAATTTGTAATAGTTGTGAAAACTTAAGCTTAGAATTCCAATAAACTCATTAGGGAATTAATGTATCATATTGTGTAGCTGAATATGATAGAAAATAAAATTCTGTAATGTCTTAGGTCATTCTATTATGATACAATTTTTATTGTCAATGTTTTGGAAATATGTGGGTTACAACTTAAATACCTCATTAAACAACAGTACTCTCTGTGCCAACTGCCATTACGATAATTTGATTTGTGATGTGAATATATAGAGGCTTTGTTCATGATGTGACAAAAGGTAAACCATCTGAGTTTGCCTGGGATACAGGACATTCAATTTTCAAGCTGGGATAGCCCCTGGAAAACAGATAATTTGATCTCCCCAAAAGTTATAGTGGCTCTAGAGGCAAATCCAGAAAAAAACAAAACAATAATTAGGATTTTCCTCAAAGATTTTTATGAGAGGAAGTTGTTTTACTTTTAGGAGACTCTTGTTTACTAGTGTTAATATATGAAAAGTCATAGATTTCATTGAAGGATTTAAATGTGCTTGTGAAAATTCACATACCAATGATTCTTCAGATGTAGGCTGTTATATTTTGTTTGATATTTGAATGATATACCCCATATGGGTGACTATTAAATGTCCTCCAGCAATCTGAAATAAATCATTCCAATGAAGAAACTACAACTCAAAGAATAAGTGATTTCTGAAAATCATACAGCTGGTAGATAGCAAAGGTAGATTTGTGTCCTAGAACTTCTTTCTCAATCTCTAGTAGATTTTCACTGGAGTTAATCATAGAAATGTGGATATTAAAAAATATTGATACAATTTAGATGACAAGATCATTCCTGGTGATCTTTTCAACAGACTGCTAGTGTTTGTTAAATGTAACTTTTTCAAGGGGTCTACTTTTGAAAATTCTGGTAAGATTATGAACCATTTAGGCATATAAAGATATAAACTTTTAAATGTAATTTCAGTGGCATTATAGATCTAAAAGGGAACTTCATATAAGTTACAGTTATTTAGAATTATGCTTTTTAAAATTTCAATTGTCATTTTCATAAGTACTGAGTAGAAATAACTAGAGAAAGTAAAATAGCTTGAGTTAGTGCAGATTTTCTTAATGTCTTACATATTTTTTTTAAATATGTATTTATTTTTTAAAGATTTATTTATTTATACAAGCACTGGGTACAGTCAGAAGCGCGGGGAGGGTGAGAGAATTCACCAGAGCCAGAGAGGGGAGCAGAGCAGGCAGAAGGACCGAAGTATACTGCTGAGGGGAGCAGCAGGCGGCAGGAGAGGTCTGCGTGCCATGTGGTACCCTCACCCGGTGGCCGGGGAGCAGCGGGGGATCGAACCGGACTGCAGAGGCTGCGGGCAGCTTCGCAACCCAGCGCTCAACCGCTGTGCCACTGGGGAGGCCCTTACATATTTTTTTTATTGTTTTAAGGCTTTTTTGTCTTGTGGCAATATAATTTAATGTTATACAACTGCAAGCATTATCTTATGTATACCTTTTAATTCAATCCCTGTCCTTCAGGTAAAAAGAACATATTCTCATGGTACTTACAGAGCTGGCCCAATGAGACAGATCAGCTTGGTTGGAGCAGTTGATGAAGAAGTAGGAGACTACTTCCCTGAGTTCCTTGATATGCTAGAAGACTCACCATTTTTAAAAGTAAGAGAAAATAATATTAAGCAATCTGAAATGTGGGTATTACTTTTATCCAATAGGTGATGTAAATAATGGCTGTTTCAGAATTATACAAATTTTTATTTCATTTGAATTGAAGGGAAAGTAAAGAATAGGTGAGAATCTCAAAGTAATTCTTATATGGTGTGTGTGCATGACTTTTCAGGTACTGATTATAATGGGAAAACTAAGCAGTGGACCAGAAAATAACACTTGACACTGTCACTTTATAAAATTCTGTTCCATTTGTTTATCAGCTCTATAAACAATAAGTACCAGAGGATTTAAGATGTGGATGCTTACAAAATTAAGTGTTTAGGACCAGGGAGCAGCAGTTTGGCATTGTGGAAAGCTGGCCTGGAAAATGTATTTCCATCTTAGCTATTCTTGGCTGGGTTGGAAGCATTTAAACTTTCTGGGCTTCACTTTCCTCATTCATAAAATTAATGTGTTTATATTTTATAGTTTTAAGATCCCTTTAAATACTCTTTTTGGGGTCATGGGGATGCTTTATTTTAAAAGGCTGGTCAGGGAGAAATTAGGACCACCAGGATGTGATTGGGGACATCCCAGGTTGGTTTGCGTGAAGGGGTCCCTTTAAATTCTTCAAGTGATTTCTGTCCAGATTCCCCTACCCAAGTCTGCATTCCTGAAAATATTTTTTCTTGTGTACTGCTAGGACTATCCCATTGAGACAGAAATCTCTGAACTATGAAGTTAGGTTAATTATTTAATCAGTAATTCAAAGGTCAGGATGTGACACAGCAAGTTTAATATTCAACAGTCTGTTGAACATCTCTTCTTATTTTCACTTCTGCTTCCTCCGTTTTCTAATCCATATGTGTATGTCTTTTTCACCCAGTTCTACTACTTTTTCATTTACTTATTTTATTCCTTTTAAACCTTTGTTCCTTTCTTTTGTCTCCCAACTCATGGAATTTAGTCATATTTATTTTGAGTGGTATTTTTAAAGTACCACTATCTAAATATGTTTCAGATTTTAATTTTAAAAGCAAGTGAGCTAAATGTATCCTTTCTGGAGAAATTTAACCTGATAAACCTCCCCTTTTGAAAGAGGGTATGGGATGAATTTAAAAAAAAAAAATGTGATTCTCATCATTCCATGGACAGTGTGTGAGTGGCCTGTAGTCATTTCTCTCGCGCTCTCTTATATTTATTTATTTTTAAGATTTTTATTTATTTTTGCATAGAAGAACTGGTATATAGGCCAGTGGTGTGGAGGGTGAGAGAATTCACTAGAGAGAAAGAGAGAGTGGGGAGCAGAACAGGTGGATTTACTGAAATACACTGCTAAGGGAAGCAGAGGGTGAGTCGGGAGAGATCTGCTGCAATGTATGTGGATTAGCTCCCTGGCTGGGAATGAATTCAGGCTGTCATGGTGGACTGTTTTGGTGGGACTGTACCCCGAGGCTGCCAAGGAGGCCATCTTTTTTATCTTTTTAAAGATTTTAATCTCTAACTTTAGACTAACAACCTCTTTATGAAACTACTGACCAGAAATAAATTTTGATTTTGATTGGATTTTCCTTTTTGTTTTGTTAGTTTTTGATGATAACTAATTAAAGAAGTATCCATATTTTGAGGTATCCTCAATTGTTCATTTCCGTAGTTAATAAGTAGAATTCTAGTATGCCTATTTTGCTGACTTATTCCTATCTCGTGACCCACATTTGCTAGAAGGAAGAAAAATGATGAATGCAGTGAATCTCATATCTGACAGAAGCATCACACAATAATTACCTTCTTGCTGTGTTTGAAATAGAATTTTTTTGAAGAACAATGGATGAATTTGCAGGAATATTTTATTTATATTGGAGTATATTTAATATGGGTACATATTTCCAATGTATAAGTATAAAGGTATATATCAAACTGTGTTTGTCAAGGGGGCAGTATTCTCTAATGTGCATTTAAATATCATTTGCAAAATAACTGATTTCTGTGTAATTATTTCCCTCTAGTGTACACTGCCATGGGGGACACTATCTAGTCTAAAATTAGAGAGTCGAAAAGATAGTGATGATGGTCCCATTATGTGGGTACGCCCTGGAGAACAAATGATCCCTGTGGCTGATATGCCAAAGTCACCTTTCAAAAGGAAAAGGTATGTTGGATGCAAGTTTTTATTGTTGAGAATGGGTGTTTTGTTGGGCTATGTGTTTGCTGAAAAAAGAAGAAGGAGAACAAAATTTAGGGTGTAACTGTATATAAATGAACAAACGGTTTATACATACTGATATAATTTTTGGTAAAATATGAAATACAAATAATACATGAGAAATGTAGATATGTGACAAATTGTAATTAGAGATAGAAAAAATGTCTTCAATAGAGACATTATGAACTAGTAAAAAATTTAACAGGAAATTTTCAGAGCCTGTGCTAAGAAAACTGAAACATTTTATGGAGAATATAAAATAAGATCTAAACAAATGGAAAAAAAACACTCTATGTTCTAGATTGGATAAAATGGTAATCTTTTGAAATATTTGTTTATTTTCTTTTAAAGATTTATTTATGCATACAAGAACTGGAGTGTAGGATAGAGGTACGGGGGATTAGAGGATTCACCAGAGACAGAGTGGGGAGCAGAACAGGCAGATCTTCTGAAATACACTGCTGAGGGGAGCAGTGGGTGAGACAGGAGAGGTCTGCTGTGCCATATGGGTCAGTTCCTTGGCTGGGCATAGAACTCAGGCTTCAGTGGCTGGTGATAGCACTGTGTCTTTAAACCCTGCGCCACCAGGGAGGCCCTGCTTAACATTTTTGTTTGAAAAGAAATTTTTACAAGGTAGTTGGTAAAACTTGTCTGTTTCTCAGTGGTTCTTAACTTCGACTTATAATTCATTTTTGAAAACCTGAAAGTATCTCCCCAGAACAACATACATTTTTACATGTAATTTAAAGTATTTCACTGGCCTCTTGGGGAACTTGCCTGTACTTCAGAGCTTATAATTTATGGTACATCTTATGATTTCATTTCACATTGTATTCTGAGCAGCTATTAGGAACAGTGCCCTGGACACTGTGCTGAATGCTTTCTTTATATGTCTTAATTCATTAAAATGTGGTATAAATGAGACCATATGTGTGGGCTTGAAAGCCTGTTAGCTTTCTACAGGAAACAACATCATCTTAACATTCTGACAACTGTAGAACATTAATCACAAACAGCAAAAAAGTATCTTATCTGTGTATATATAAAACTGTAATGCGGGTGCAAAAAGAAAGTAGTAGAGATTGAAAATGGAAATTAGAGAACTAATAAGGAAGAGTGACCCTAGGGATACACCAGGGCAAGCAGGAGAAAATTATGGGCGTAATCTGGATTTGTTTTTGGAAGCAACAGGTAGATAAATAGATATATATTCCCAGTCAAAGAAACTATTTTTCATCCTTTTCCCTCTGTCCAGCAAAACTGGGGAGGGTTTCTACAATAAGTGATGTTAAGTGCTTAGGACTTAGCATATGGATTCTAAGTGAGCAGTAGAGGAGACAGAGATAACTGTCCTTAAGATGAAGCTAAAGTTTTCTACCTCCAAAGTATTTATTGCCTGTTCCCTACACCCCCGATCCCCCATTTATTTCTTTTATCTCTCAGTAGACTATAAACTCCCAAGACAATAGGGAACTTGTCTGTCTTACTACTATTTTTTTCTCACTGGATCCAGTACCTAGATAGTACCTGGCATATAACAGTGTTCTATAAATATAAAGTTAATGCATTTTAAAGAGTTATTTGTTCAAGATATATACTTCTTGTTAGCCATGTGATCTGAGTGGAGGCATGGTTCCACAGATTAGATCCAAACTTCAGGTAAAGATTCTGGATTCAGGGGAACCTGGATGAACCACACATTCTGTCAATCTGTAATTTAGTTCCTTATCAAAGTGTGTATTTCCTTATGACTGTCACTTTTGTGGAGACAATACTAGAAAAACAAGGAGGGGGAATTATATGTTTCATTTGTTTGTATTTGTGCATTTTACAAATAGAATTTGATTTGGATTTAAATTTCCCTTCATCTGAATTATGTGATTATTAAATGCTTGAAGGCAGTTGAACCTCAGTGCTTTAATACAGATGTTTGAGGTTAAGCATAATACATAGGCCTGCCTCTTTCTCTCTGTTTTTTTAAACAAAATATAAAATTTTTTTAACAGAACTACCAATGAAATAAAAAATCTGCAGTACCTACCTCGAACCAGTGAGCCCCGTGAAATGCTCTTTGAAGACAGAACAAGAGCCCATGCTGATCACATAGGACAAGGTTTTGAACGACAGACTACAGCTGCTGTTGGTGTGCTGAAGGCTGTGCACTGTGGAGAGTGGTATATATTAACTACTGCTATTTGAATGAAAGGTTTTCTTGGTTTCTAAAATTTTTCTTTGAAAGTTTCTCAGTAATTCTCCTTAAATGGGGGAAGAAGTTTCTTTTTCTTGTGTATTTGGATGTCTTAATTGTATAATTACACTAAAGAAGATTTTCAGTTGCTAAAATCTAGTTTTAGTCTTTTTTGGGTTTCACAAATAATTATATTTTCTAAAGTAATTAGAGGTTAAGACAAGGTGAAAGAAAAAGTAATGTTCACTTGGTACTTTTCCTTTTTGTATGAAAATGTTCATGCCTGTTTAAAAATATTCATTTAATTTTCTGAGGCTCAAATGCATATATATTGTCTTATTAGTACTTTTGCATTCTTAGGATAGATACCTAGGAGTGGGATTGTTGAGTCATGTAAAAGATCTGTTTTTCATATTTGAGACACCTCTATACTGTTCTCCATATAGGGCTCTACCAGTCTACACTCCCAACAACAGGGTACAAGGGTTCTCTTTTCTCTACACCCTATCCAACCCTTGTTATTATTGCTATTCTTGACAAGGGTCATTTTTACAGATGTAAGGTGGTATTGCATTGTGGTTTTGATTTGCATTTCCCTAATTAAAGGTGATAATGAGCATTTTTTTCATGTTCCTATTGACTGTGTTTTCTTTGGAGAATTGTCTAGCTCCTCTGCCCTTTTTTTTTTTTTAACTGGGTTTTCTGTTTGTTGCATTGTATGAGTTCTTTGTAGATTTTTGGGTATTAAACCCTTACTGAATGTATAATGTGCAAATATTTTCTCCCATTTGGTAAATTGCCTTTTTTTAAAAAAAAAGATTTATTTATGCATACAAGACCTGGGGGGTAAACCAAAGGTGTGGGGGATGAGAGGATTCACCAGAGACAGGGTGGGAAGCAGAACAGGCGGGTCTACTGAAATACGCTGCTGAGGGGAGCTTGGGGTGAGACTGGAGAAGTCTGCTTTGCCATGTGCGTGAGCTCCCTGGCCAGGGATGGAACTCATGTTGCCTGGCTGGTATTTTTTATTTTTTTTTAAGATTTATTTATTTATGCATACAAGAGCTGGAGTACAGGCCAGAGGTGCAGGGGGTGAGAGAATTCACTAGAGACAGAGTAGGAAACAGAATAGGCAGATTGACCAAAATACTGCTGAGGGGATCAGCGGGTCATTCAGGAGAGGTCTACTGTACCATGTGGGTAGCTCCCTGGCTGGGGATAGAACTCATGTTGCAGTGGCAGTGGATAGCTTCGTAGGTTGCGTCTTAATCCCTTGCGCCACCAGGGAGACAATTGCACCCCAGTTGCCTTTTTATTTTAATGATGAGTTTTTTTGCTTTCTTGTTGTTCCATTTGTTTATTTTTGTTTCTGTTTTCTTTGCTCTTATATACAGTATAGTCCCCAAAGACATCACTGATGTCAATGTTGTAGAGTGCTTTTTTCTGTGTATTTTATGGTTTCAGGTATTATAGCCAAGTCTTTGATTCATTTTGAATTAATTTCCATATATGGTGTGAGCTAGTGGTCAAGTTCCATTCTTTTGTGTGTAGCTATCCACTTTTCCCAACACCATTTGTTAAAATAGACTTTCTCTATTTTACATGGTCTGTGTTCCTTTGTCATGTCTACATAAATGTGGGTTTATTTCTGGGCTCTTAGTTATTTTTTTTAAGATGTATTTATTTATGCATGCAAGGCCAGAGGTGGGGATGGGGGTGAGAGTATTCACCAGAGACAGAGCAGGGAACAGAACAGGCAGACTGACTGAAATACACTGCTAAGGGGAGCAAGTGGTTGAGACAGGAGAGGTCTGCTGTGCCATGTGGGTTAGCTTCCTGGCTGGCTGGGGATCTAACTCGTACTGCAGAGGCTGTGGATCGCTTCATAGTGCTGTGCTTAACCACTTGTGCCACCAGGGAGGCCCAAAACTTGTTTTTTTACCCCCCCATTTTTTTGTAGAACTGGATTGTAGGACAGGGGTCCAGGGAATGGCAGGGCTAATGAGAGGATTCACCAGAGAGAGAGTGGGGAGCAGAACAGGCAAATTTTACTGAAGTACACTGCTAAGTGTATTTACTGAAATACATAGGAGAGGTCTGCTGTGCCATATGTGGGTTAGCTCCCTTGCTGGGGAATTGAACTCAGGCGGTAGCAGTGATAGCACTTAACCCCTAGGCCACCAGGGAGACCCCTCCCTTTTTTTTTCTTTTTTTTTTTGCATTTTCTGTAAAATTGTGTTTGTATATTTCTAATTAATAGAAGAATTTAGGAATTTTTTTAGAACTATATTCAAAGATATTATTATCCCCAGCATATCCACAGTTTGTTTTATTAGTAATTTTCTAATGAATGTCTTTTAATTTATTAAGAACTATTTGGGCTGATAATGTATTTTTACATACCTTTATTGAAGAAAATATTCCCTCTCCCCCCATATTTCCCTCTAATGTTTACATAGTATTTTCATCATCTGCATTTAATTTTATGAAATAAACTATCTTAACTTTAAGACTTACTTTTTTGTTTGAATAATTACCCAGTTCAAATTATTTTACTTTTTCAAAATAATGGTTACAAAAAGCTATAATAAAATGAGGTGAGTTGTTTTTATCTATGTTTAACGCAAAACTCATGGCATCATTCCTTTATTTAAATAACTAATGTGGTCTTCTAACTGCAATTTAACTTTAATTCTAAGACAGTTCTTTGATCATCATAGGCTATTTTGCTTTAACAAGGACCTCACAGCAGATTCCTCATACTCTTTTTTTTTTTTCCCCTTTTTTTGTAAGGCCCGATCAATCCCGAATAACCAAAGATGTAATTTGTTTTCATGCTGAAGACTTCTTGGAAGTAGTTCAACGAATGCAGTTAGATTTACATGAACCTCCACTGTCCCAGGTACATTTTAAACAATTATTATCTTTAGTTTAATTTTTATTGTTGAAAAGACTTACTTGTATTTCTTGTTTCTTTTTTTAGTGTGTCCAATGGGTTGATGATGCAAAACTTAATCAACTGAGGAGGGAAGGCATTCGCTATGCCAGAATTCAGCTGTATGATAATGACATTTATTTTATTCCAAGGAATGTTGTTCATCAGTTCAAGACAGTTTCAGCTGTATGCAGCTTAGCATGGCATGTTCGGCTCAAGTTATATCACTCAGAAGAGGGCACTGCTCAAATTACAGCTACTCATGAAACAGGCACATTACCAGATTCTGCATCATCAGTTCTTGGACCTCATACTGACAACATGACTTGTGCTGTAAGCAAAACCTCCTTGGATTCTATTTTTTCAGACAAACTTCATCCTAAATATGAATTACAGCAGATTAAACATGAACCTATTGCATCTGTAAGAATCAAGGAAGAGGCTATGAATGTTTATATTCCTGAAAAGACTAGAGCACCGAATAACATGGATGGCAAGAGTGTTAAAGCAAAATTGGACCATGTTCAATTTACAGAATTTAAGATTGATACAGACTCTAAATTTGAAAATAGCAACAAAGATTTAAAGGAAGAATTGGTGCCCTGGAAATCTCCTAAGTTTAGTTGATAAAAAACAACATAGTTCAGCACATTCAAATCAAGATAGAAAAGATGATGACATTGTATGCTAAATTTGTACATAACCATTTACAATTTCTTTTTTTAAACTTAATAATGTAATAAAGATTCATGAATTCTAAAAGCAAGCCAAGGACTTGCTCCTAAGTCTGTTATAAAATATAGTTTATGTAGCTTTGTAACATTCCTCAGTGCCTGTCCATAACTGTGAAGTATCAAAGCACTTAGGGCCAGATGCACTGTAAACATTACAGGTTTAAACAAAAGGAGTCTTTTAAAAGATCATTTGAGTTGGAGTTGTAAGTTTTAGAATAGAGCTGACATTAACATGCATACATACATACATGTATATACACAAATATGCATATATATATAATATATATATTATATATATATGTGGTAATATGAGCCAGAATTCCTTTTTGACAATTTAAGGCTTTTCCATAAAGCTTATTTATACCAGTTTTTTTTTTTTGTTTTTGTTTGTCATTTAAAACGAGTCAGCACTGTAGTGTAAATAGCTATTAAAAATCTTTTTAGTGTGATTTATATGGAAATGTGAGCCACTTAATAAAGGTTCATAATATGTTTTCTGTTGAGTCTACAAAAAGACAAATTGACAATTCAGTTAAATCGGTTATATTTTATGTTTCTGCTGGTATATCCATTTAGAGTGGTAATGAAGTGCAAATGTACATTTTCAAATCTAGTCAATATTTAAATTCCCCACACTGTGCAAGTATTTTTAAAACCAAGATTCAGTTATGAGGCGTGTGTGTGTGTGAGTGTGTGTGTGAATATATATATATATATGGTGTATATATATATATATATAATCTTATTTTGCATAACTTCTTAAATTGCTGAATAAGATGCATATGTGAAACTTCTATCCCTACTCCCTGGAATACATTTTAAAATATTTATATTCAATATTAAGAAAACAGTTTCGGTAAAAGAAGCAATTTTATAAAGTTGGGAGAAACAAGGTCTTTTAATGATATCTAACCCTTTAGTTAATCAAATTATGTGGCCATATATATTGTCCTAACATAAATTTTCTTCGTAGTATGTGGAATAAGAAGTTGAGAAAATTTTCTTACTGATAAGCACCTGTCTATATTGTACTTAAGAGTAGCTGAGTAAAAATCTTTAGTTACAAAAAGTTTAATTGTGAGCAATTAAGATCCTTTTTTTTTCTTACATTTTTCTTGCAGAATAGGAGGAAAATAAGGCAAATACAAAATCTAACAAAAGGGCAATGACTCAACTGCCATAAACAGAGATATAACTAACAAAAATAGGATGTGTTACCTCATCTTTCTAAGGATCCCTGTCCCTACCCTACTAGCAAGGTAAAACAACTTAGAGTACTTCTTTTTGAAAAGAAGCTCAAGAAAGTAAAGGTGGAGTAGGAAACAGGAATGCCAGTGCCTAACTAAAGATGATTAAAACAAATCTCTTTAATGATGGACTTGCGCACTATTTCAGTCTGCATCCACTACTGTAATTAAAAGTTAAACAAATGTCTTTAATGTATGCTTTGATGTAAAGACTCTGTTCATTGCACATCTATTTTATTTTCTTCGGTATTATTCTGGTTGATGACTCTGGTAACATTCGACTGTGCTTCTTTATATTGCCTTTGGGGCTAGTGTTATTGTTCTCATTTCAGTGGTTTCTGTTTCAGCCCCATTTGTGGCACCATTAAAACTGCTTTTCTTTTTGGTTAGGGAGAAACCACTTAGAGTCATTTCACCAGGAGAAAAAAAAAAAGCCTGCAGTAATGACATTATTTCTAGGTTCCAGTTTAAAATGGTAGTCAAATGTTGTTGGAAGTCTTGATGGTTTGTAGGAAATCAATATATTTACATCATAGGAATTTTTATGGGATAAAGAAGGTATAAATCATGATAATGTAAATAGAGATTTTGTTTTGTTTTACTGTCTTATCCTGCTCCTCACCACTATATGGATTTGTATCTACCTTTTTGAAAGACAAAAGTTCATAACAAGCCAGTTGGGAGATAAAGGAGGGGAAGAGGTTAAAGAGTTTTTTCTTTTTTAATTGAAGGGTGATATATTTAACCAGGTTTGTTTTATTTCCAATTTTCTAGTAGCTTGCACATAGATGCATGAAATCATACTGTAGTAAAATACCTTTAGTTTATGCCCCCAAAATATATGAGCCTTAAACTTCTAACTTAAAAATATATCTAAAATAACCACAGTGGTTGCTTTTAGGTATAGTTTCCTATATAATCTATAGTCAAACTTCTCCATATTTTGAAAATTTGTTTTGTAAAATGTATACATCTCTGTGGAGGTGAAAAATAAAAATCAATGGTCTCAGATTTCAAGATACAGCCTTGTCGCCTTGAATAACGCTTATGTTCCTTGTTTTACGGGTTATAATTTAAAAATCCTTTTCAGATGCAATCTGAGAACTTTTTGACTACCTTTGTCACACACAAATAATTTCTATTTCAATATTGCATTATATTAATGGTTTCCTAGTTAGTACATTCCAGTTCTTTATCTGAACACAAGTTTTTTGCTGTTATTTCTAATTTCTTGGACCAGAACAATAAAGCACTTAAAATATAGTTTATATATTATCTTATACTATGTAGTTACACAGTTGTTATATAAATTATTAAGTTGATACACAGACCTTTACAAAAAAAACTAAGGTACCTCAATGGTGTCTGCTATAGTGCTTTTAAAAAAATTACTTTTGTTCATACCCTTATAGCTATCTAAGTAATATATATTCCATACTCAGGTTAGCTGGTTAGCTAGCAAAAGAATTAAGCATTTGTGATATTCAGTTGAAAAGTTTACTAAAGCCATATTCATTATCTTCCTTGTCACTAAGGCTGTTGACCTTAAATAAAATTAGGTTGATCTAGCACAACATTGTGTGTATGTTTGTTTATATGTATGTGTGTCTTTATGCATGTGTGTAAGATTTTTGGAAATAATCTATTCCCATATATTTTCAATCTAATCTATAATATTTGGGGTTGGGAGATGCTCATGAAGGATAAGAAAGATTTCATTTCTTAGGTTAAGTCCTTAAGATTTTTTCATTAGTGTTTTTGAGTGTGAAACTTTTTTTCCCAAATGCTATGGCTGATAAATTCATTTTTGTAAATAATAGACTAGTACTGTTTTGGTAAATTTGCATTCAGTTATTTTTTGGACAGATTCATTGTCATGTAAAGAAGTGAAAAAAATTCCTTTTACATTTAGCAAAGGTGCAAGATTTGCTTTTGCAGTTTGAGAGAAATTTTCTTTGTCTTCCACCTTTCAATAAATGCTAAAATGATAACTGTAATGCTTTTACTTTTGTTTCACAATTATTTTCTTAAATTTGGCATTTCTCTGTTGTCATTTTTAAAAGCTTGTTTTTGTCTTCAATGGAAGTCAGAGGACCATGAAAATTATTCCAATATGAAAATCTTGGTTTTTTTTTTTAAAGTAATTATCAAAAGTTCACTTGTGCTAACAGCGAAGACTATTGAGGATTACTTAAATGGGTGCTGGGATGGTGTGGCAAATCACCCCCTTTCCTTCTAGACAGGACTATTTTGTATTCCAAGGGGATCTAAGAAAACTGTCACTCTTTTCAAAACACTTTTAATCTGGTAAAATGTGTTTTAGCTCTTCAGAGTGGTAAACTAGCTTTTATTTGATCTTTCCCCCACCTGACATAACTACTTTAATATGTAAACAAAATTTACTGGTTTTAGAATATGTTGTCTACCTCATGAAGGTGTTATGTTTGATATGGTTGGTACTAACAGTATAATTCAAATAAGATAATTAAGAGTGCAACTCAGAGGTATAAATCTTTTCGTATCTGACCTTTCTGTTCGATTTTTTTGTAATCCACTGCATATTGCTGGAGGAAATGATAGCTTTTTAGATTGTCAAGCACAAGGAGCCTAAAATCAGAGATGTCTTTCCTTTTAAAGTTTATAGTTACTCTATATCATTTCTGCTGGGAGAGCAGAGATGGGAAGGAGGTAATCTTGCGTTCAAGTTATCTCATCTTCCAGAACTTTAAACCCAACCAGGGAGTGTAAATATGAACTGAGAACAAAATGTGGGCAGGGGCCTCCCTGGTGGCACAAGGGGTTAAGTGTCAGCACTATGAAGCTGTCCACAGCCACTGCAGCATGAGTTTGATCCCCGGCCATGGAGCTACCCACATGGCACAGCAGATCACTCCTGTCTCACCCACTGCTCCCCTCAGCAGTGTATTTCAATCAGTCCACCTGTTTTGTTCTCCGCTCTGTCTCTGGTGAATCCTCACATACACACACCCCTCCAGCCTGTACCCCAGATCTTGTATGCATAAATAAATAAATCTTTAAAAAAAATGTGGGCATGTAAGAATTTATGTTAATGAGAAAAGTAAAATTTACTACTCATTTTATTATTATAACCTGCACTAAGATATGAACATGCTAGATCCTATGTATTTTGAAATTTATTTTTTTGCCAACACAAGGCAAGTTTATATAGGAAAGATTAAAAAAGGAAAGAGATGCCTGTACAGACACAGGCAGGCAGAGAGCTGCCATATTTTGAAATTTGAATTTATGTATTGTTTTTAAAATGTTAAAGCTTTACAATTTTTACTATAAAATCCATTGCTGTTATACTACTGAAGACTATTAAGTTTATAGTTACAAATATCTTGTGTAATACAAATATCGGACAGTTTGGCTTCTCCCTACCAAGTTTCCTCTTTGCTTGAAATTCTTTTTGTTTTTATTTTCTTATTTATCTATGTATACAAGAACTGGGGTATAGGTCAGAGGTGTGGGGTTGAGAGGAGTCACCAGAGACAAAGTAGGGAGCAGAGCAGGCAGGTCTACTAAAATACACTGCTAAGGGGAGCAATGGCAAGCCAGGAGAGGTCTGCTGCACCATGTGGGTCAGCTCCCTGCTCCCTGGCTGGGGTGATAGCTTGATAGCGCTGAGACTTTAACCCCTGTGACACCGGGGGGACAGGGGAGGACTTGTTTTTGTTTTTAATTGAATCAGATTTTTACGTGAAAAATTTTTCTTAAAGAAAATCTGATTTTTACATATGTTCTTGTGCCATCTCTTCCTA